ATCTTAGATATGGAGCTCCTATCAAATCTGGTAAAATTAGCTTTTGCACTTGTGCCTGTGTATAAGAGATCAAAATCTGTCTGTGTGTGTCTGTTTGAAGAATATAGTTTTGTCTTTTTTGAGGGGTAAGCGAGTGTTGTCTCTTTTTCCATTCAAATAATCTTCAGTAGCAATTAAATAGCTTATGCTACCTAAGAGATCAGTTATTACAAGATAAGTAGCATGACAGTTTAGAAAAACTGAGGAAGTCTTTGATTATTTACCAAGTTTTGATATCTTCTTTTTGCCTGAAAATGCTAAAAAATGAAGTATAAGATACAACATGAAAGACTCATTTGAACATCATAAGGAAAAGAATCAGTAGTTTTGCATTTTTTTTTCTTAACATCTTATTTTTTATTAAAATAGCAAAGCCAAGTGTTGTGTTTAATAAGATATACTTTTTCAATTTTAACATCAAATATAAAAATATAATTAAAATATAGCTAAAAAAATTGACATTTGTTGTAAGATATAGTACTACAATGTCTGTTTCTACAGTTTCACATAACCTTGAGTGCATTAGATTCTTCCATCATATATGAAGATTTTTTTATAGATATTTTTAAGATCAGTTGTCCACTCATATTTTCAGTCACAGGTTCATTGTCATGAGAATAGTAATATTAGTAGGGTGTTAAATCTAGATCATTTCCAAAATGCTAATTAAACTGAGTGAGGTGCATAGCATAGTTCTAACATGAAAATGATAAGAATAATGTTCAAATAATGATGAGTATGTAACATTTTAGAGACCTTTCCTTTTTTTTTTGAGTTATGGTCAGCATGCAAATGCTTAAATGAAACAATAAATGCTTATAATCAGATTGATGACACTGTTACCTTTTATCCTTTCTACTACCTGGCCCAACAGGAAGAGTATCATAGCAATCCTAAAGAATCTTTGTTTGAGGGCCCACAAAGATGGAATGAAGCATATAGCAGCATTTCTCCCCATTTCTCACATAGCGATAGCCAGCTCTTCAGCACAATTCCTGCAGGACTGCTAAAGAAACTTAAGGAGGTGGTCTGGGAAAAGGGGAAAGACTTGAGGCAGAAGAACCTCTAAGGGTACCTATACATGAACAGGGAGGCTCCTCTGATGCGCTGTAATTCCAGTGTGTTGGAACAGACTCATGTTGGAATTGAGTCTGCTGGAGCATGACAATTACCACGTTCCAGCAGCCTCCTGCATCTCGTGTATAAGTGTCCCTGCACTTCAAAATGGTGGTGGGGGCATTTTATATAAAGGTTGTTTGGTGAGGTTTAGATAAAGCGCCCCAATGCCATTTTGAAGCATGGGGACGCTGACACACGAGATGTCTTGGAGCTGCTCTAATTAAAGTTCCCCCTCCCTTCCCCCCTGACTCCCAGAGCACATGTACAAACACCCTAAGATATTACTGCTTAAAGCTGCACTAACTTTGTCTAAAGAGTGCTCTGTGAGGGGTCACTGAGAGGCAGATACAACCAGTGGTATCCGGGTGGAGAGGCAAGCCATTATCAGATCATCAGCTGGTCACAGCATGATGTCACAATTAAATAAAAAAAGGGCCAGGACCAGTGCAGAGCCAAAGGAGACAAACATGTATAGACTGAGTGGCCACAGGTTTGCACTGCTGGTGCCTGCAGATACTCAATCCATGCAAAGACCTAACTGCATCCTTTGCTCTTCCAGTAGCTTAGTTACTTTTTTCCTAATGTGCACCTATTGGAAGTAGGAAAACTACTGATTAAAATCTCTTCCTTTCTTTTATTCACACACAAACACACATGCTAAAATAAAACTTAAGAACCTTTCCCCCTTAAATGTTACAAAATGGGTAAATCGGGTGCTCCTTTTCCCCATGGTTTTGTGTGTGTATAGGAAGATAGAGCCCCAAATCAGCTGCTTACATATTGTACCAGTTAGATGATAACCTGGTTTTTCACTGTGCTGCACAGCATAATTATTTTGAGCTTCATGTAGGTAGGTGGATAAGTCAGATCATCTTGCTTTACATGTACAGGCTCCTGCCACTTAAACTACAGGAGTTATGATGTACTTGTATATGTGATCAATATTGGGTCTATGACGTAGAGTTGAATAGTTCTAATTCCATTCTGCAGAGGGCAGCAGGGTGGATGAGTATTAAAATATATTCTGTTCCCAGCATAATGAAAGAAAAATCAGATTTGCATGATAAAGCTAACCTTGGTAGCTTAACTTATACTGCGATCTCGGGACACCTATATGATCACTTAACTGTAAAGTCATTACTGCATATTTAAACATACACTTCTTGGAATCAGTTAATTTGCCATTGCTATTTGCCATTTGTATCTAGATATTTTCACTTAATTCAGTGTACCATGTGCACATGTGTGTGTGTAGTAACTATATGTGTATGTTTATATCTCTATATATAGTTATACACACACATATAACATGTGTGTTTGTGTGTATGTATGTGTATCTGTATTGAAAAACACACACATGAAATCAAAGCACCATATTACCCAGTGAAAATCAATAAAGTGAAAATGTAGCTATTGACAGCACTTGTAATTTTGCCTATTACAATGGTGTGCCTTTTCTTTGAATGCAGCACACTTTTATGCCCCATTAAAGCATGGCTGACATAGCTTTCAACTACTCACAAATGCTGAGATGTTGAAAAACATAACATTTACAAAAGATACATCTGGTGCATATTTATAAGGATCAGAATAAGGAGTCATTTAAATAGTTCATGTGCCATCACCATATTAGGAGGAAAGTTTCTCCAGCCCCATATGTGAAATCAGCAATGAAATGTGTGCTGATTTAAATTCTACTTATATGATATTGCATGTCTGGGTACTGAATATACTAAAACAAGAGCATTTTAAGCCATGTACACATCTCTCCAGCTGAGTAGTACATATATCCATTTCAGTGTGTGCATATTTAAATCTACATGGTCAGCAGATGATCAGCTGATTTGTTGAGGGGCAAACATTTCATGCTGTTTCATAGAAATGTATCCCTGACTGCTAATTAAAATACGTCAGTATTTGCTTTCTCTATTCCTTTCTAAAGAGATATGTGAGAACAAGCTAGAAATCGGTGAATAAATATGTAGATTGTGATGCAGCTGATGCATTTAATTCAGCAGATGAACAGGATGTACCAGCTTATTTTATGTCAGATAATGTGGTGAGAAATAAAAAAATATTTGGCCCACTTCTACCAGTGCAGTGTAGTACTTGAAATAACCTAGGAAGCCATGTTTTAATTAATGTTATAGGTCATGTTTTAAACAGATCAAGGCTGAGAATTAAGGTAAAACTGATAGTGTCTTTTGGTCATCTGAATATAATTTTCAATTTCTGTATATATAATTGAATTTAACCTAATGTGACCCATCACTATGGTATCTGGGTGCTAACAATATTACTTAAAGCAAAAGTCACTCCAAAGGACTTCTGCATGTCATTTGGCTGTAAATGGATTTTTTTTTTCAAAAAGTATGTTACTTATCTACAAGGTAAGATTTGTCAAAGATTTTAATGTATTGTTAGACATTTATACATTGAGGGTACAGAACTCACACAATTTACACAAAAGCATTTTCTTTACGCACAATGTTTGTAATTCCCAAACTTGCATGCACAAATTTAGGTTTAGCTTGGGCAAATGAGAGAGGGAAGACAAATGTGTAGGCAGGTTTTGAGTCTAGTTTAAGTTCAGGGTGTCTAAAGATCCATGTATCTGACAACAGGCTGAAAGCTCTCAACCCATCATCTGATACTACATTCTTAATTCATGCACAGCACTGAAAACAAGGCCTGACAATAAAACCTCTGAGTGATACTATCAGGGATGATCACCTCTGGAAGGTTTGGGGCTTTGGTGACAGCAAGTGAGGCAAATTTGGCTGACCAGGTTATGCTCTCACCATTGCTAACTGATTGAGCACAATGAGATTCAGGCCAAACTCTTTAGTACAATGGGCAATAGGAAAACTAAATCAATCTTTGTTTCTGCATTTGCGCTGAGAAAAGCTGATAGAGGAATTCACGTTATATCCCTTGGTGGTATATAAGTACTGCTCTATGAGCAGTCATTATTGCTGTTATTAACAATAAATATTAAGCTACTATTTTTAAACCTGTCTTGCATCGTAGTAGTGCATATTTTTAAACCTGTCTTGCATCTTAGTAGCTTGGATGTTTATGGTCAAAATATAGAACTCTTTTCGAAGAAGATGATCATTTATTTGATAGCTTGTAAAGATGAGCTGACCTACTGCATCACTCCATGTTCTTTTAATTGGATAGCTTTTCCCAATGCCTGATCTGCCATGTCAGTTTGGCAGCCATGCACTCTATCTGTATGCCCACCAGGAGCCAGAGTTTAATCTCAGATGCATGGCATGCACTCCTCCCCTCCACCCCATCCTTTCACCAAAGAGCTGTTTTCAAATACATCTCTATTAAACTACTTTATTTTAAAAAGAACAACTGCCTTCTCCCTTGGGTCCCCTCAATTCAAGGGGATAGGTGTGCAAGGACAGTAGAATGCCTGTTTCCAGATGTAGCTAGGCCTGTGCTATGCATGGGAGATTAGAATGTCACCTGACATCTGCAGACTAAAAATCACTGTGAATTTTTTTCATTTTGGTTCCTTTGCTATTTTTATTTTAGGGCGTTTCCAATAGATCAAATACAGTTCAACCTTATTATGGACTCAACCTATTTGTCAAATTTTGTTTTTCTCTGGAGTGGTAAGAGAAAGCATTTAAAAGTAATATATATCATTTTCTATTTATACATCTTAAAAACAGCTGAAGGTGATTTCTTCCCCAGCCCCCTCCCAAGATCTAAGAAAAATAATTACGCTGGGTTGAAATTTTATAAGTAAAGTTTCAACTGAGAATAGATTTTTATTGCCAAGATATATAATAGGTGTTTTTGAGAGGTCGTTAACTTCAACACTATAGTCAAACAGTGTTACAGCCTACACGGCATCATTCGTTAAGCAATTAAGTTACTGATAGGCTTTTACATTTATTTACCTTGATGGAAAGATATGTTTACTCAACCTGAGAACAAATCAACATGAGGAGGCGGAAGTTCAGAGTAAATTTGACTAATGATGTTGTGTTTTCATCCTTGGAAGAAACAAAAAAGCCTTTCTGCTTTTGATGCCATGTTATCTCCATTGGAAGAGATCCGAAATGATCCAGACTGTCATGTGAGAGCTTAGTTAAGCTCAGATCCCCTTTGATTGCCTCTGAATGTCTCTCTCAGTTGGCTCGTACCTCCTTCATATGATACAGCATACAGCACTTCAGTTTGTTTATTAAACAGTACTTTAACTTTTTAGACTTAATGTTCTAATGATTCAATCTTTAAGCAAAATATAGGGGGGGGACCTTTACCACTAGAAGAAAATTTAATGTGGCCTCCCTGGTGAAATGTCAATTAATTCCATTTAAGCATGGCTTTATTAAACTACAAAACTGACTAGTATATGTTATACTTCTCATTGAACCCTAATTATCTCTTTATTTCCTTGTAGGCTTTTACCAGTTTCTCCAGCCTTGCCTCTGTGGATTTCATAAGCTCTGTTTCTCCAAGTGATGCTTCAGTGTCCCCTGTGATGGAATCCATTATGTGTGAGCATCACCATGGGTATCTAATTTTTTTTTACTTCCAGTTTTTAAGAAGAGAACAATAGATATGGACCTGAATCAGGAGCTGTTCTGTGGGCACAACTCCCATTTAAATCAGTGAGAGATCTGTGCATAAGGAGCTTTAGACTATGGCTGAAGTTGAATGCAGGCTCTGCGCAGTGAGGGCCAGACATATCCCTCCCTTCCTTCCTCCTGTTCTCTCACTTTCTCCTTCTCTCTCCAATTTATATGCTGCCCTTCCTAAAAAAAGACTCAGGGTGACTTGCAATGAAAAGTGGTAGTTAGTCATGTTAGCCTGAAGTCAGTCAGAAGGCAGCATAGACATGCACAGTTAGGCTGGGGACAGACATTACACATAAGCCGGTTTAAGTGATCAGAAACTGGTTTAAACTTGTAACAAAACGGCTGTTCATTGCACATAAACCAGTTTGAAAATGGCTGAAACCAGTCTGAGATAAACCTAGTTGAATGTAGTATCAGACTTAACTGATTTGGCTCAAACCAGTTTATGCAATGTCTGTCCCAGACCCCTTGCTGGTTTAAGTTAAACCAGACTCCCCCAGCACCCTGGCATGCTCTCTGGGCTGGGTGGGGCTCTCTGCTCCACAGCAGAGCTGTCCCCTCCCCCCTGTTCCCTGGCTGGAGCTTGGCAGAGATAGCAGACATCTGCCTGGCTTCCCCCTGCTTCCGCCTCCTCTCCCCACTCCCTGCTAAGCATAGGGATTGCCCCATCCCCTCTGCCTTACACAGACACTTATCAGCATTAGCTAGCAGACTACATGCTGGCTATGGTCCGCACTGCGGTGGATGGGACAAAGGCAGAATCAACAGGTAGCTGGTAATGTCCCTCTGTTGATTTCTTAATGGGGTGATAAACACTGCGTAAGGGGTGATAAACACTGTGGTATCAATTCCCTGCTGGGCTGGTCAGAAGGTGGAGGGAAAATCCTCCTTAATCAGGGTGTCCTGTCCCACTCAGCTCAGCATTGTGGAAGGGAAGGGAAGAATGCTCTAGCACACCCGGGCTTCTAGCATAAGTCAGTGCAGGCATCTGCCTGCATTTTCTCAGTCCAGAGGGTATGCCTGTGTGTTACAAATTGGTTCAGCCTAGCCAGGTTAGACTAACCTGCAAAGATTGAATCATTTCAGGCTCAGGCTTTTTTAATGTCTATCCCGAGCCTTATAGACTAACTAAGGTTTATATCTAAGATATAGATATAGATCTTATTTAGTGTATAAAGGTACATATCTACCTTGCCTTATGACTTACAATAACTTAAAATAAGAGTACAGAATAACTTATAAAACAGGGGAATGGACAAGAGAACAAAACAACTTTAAAGATAACTAGACTATAAACAGAAAACAGAGCCATCCCTAAATAATATCCTATCTTAGCTTTTTTTGCTAAATGCCAATCCAAATAGGAAGAGCACATACCAACTGCAGAGACTTCCTCAGGCTGACAAAGGGTTTTTAAACCTGAAAGCCTGCTAAAACATTTTTTCCAACTATTTAAATTGGTCTAATAAAAGATATCAGATTCACCCAAAGAACCTTGTCTGCCTATGTCCTTAGACCAGCACGGCTACAACCTATACCCCTGTATCCAAACAGAAAGGTCTTACAGCATGCCTGAAAGATGTCTAGGCTCAGGCTCTGACAGGCCTCAAGTGGGAGGGGGTCCTAGACCTGAGGAGCAACTGATGAGAACAATTTAAATGAATATACATTGCAACATTGTTGGCTAAAAGTCAACCCAGTGGACATATCCTCTGCTGCTATGAATCAACATACATTCACTGGCTTCAGTAGAGTTCTACTATGAGGCTTCCCCCGGATGAGGATTTGATTCCTGAATTTTGTGAGTTTGGGATTTGCAGTTATGTGATCGCACAGCTATTAACACCTTGAGACCAGAGAATCCTGTGCTTTGGGATCCATACCCAAAGACTGGGTTTTGCTGATAATTTTTTTAATTATAAGAAGTTAGAAGATGAAGTTATTTTGCTCTTTCATGCCTGGGAAAAAAATTGGAGTTCCTTAATTGGGCAAAAGCCCTTTTACAGTCAGTTGCAGTTTTGCAAAATTAAGTACTACAAATATATCCAATATTTGTTGTAGCATGCTCTAATTCTGACCTGCAAAAAACACTTGTCTTTATACCTAGATTTCCAATTAGAAGAAATCGGTAGCTGCACCAAAATATGTGATGTTTTTGTGACATAGGGGAAAAATACTTAACTGGGATTAGTTTAAATCACATATGCTATTCATTGCCTTTGTGATCTAAGCCAAATTTGAACCCAGGTGTTCATTCTTCATTTGAACTCAGACATTATCTCATTGTACAATCTAGGTGCTTATAACTCATCCAAAACTTGTTCTGGAAGCATAATATGGTATTTTGGCTCTGAAATGATTTCATTGTTAGGCTGAGTGTTACACAGATGGTATTTTAAATATAAAATTCTTTTTATGTTTCTTGCAATTTCATACTTATTTCATTACCTCATTATTTATGTGAAAGGGACACCATAAATATGAAATATGTTCAGTTTAAAAAAAGTTGAGCGTAGTTTCGATACCTTGCCCTGAATCTTTTGATGCTGGTGGCTTCACTGTCACATTTTCTACTTTAAAAATATATTTATGTCCCTAGCTGCTGTGTGACGGATCCACACAAACAGCAGGGGGAAATAGTCTCACTTAGTTGATTATAGGAGAGAAGTGGCAAAATGGCTATGCACAAAAAAATGCTGCCAAATGCAGAAAGTGAAGAAAATGAACAAAATAAAAAATATTTTTTGCCAATCTCTCTTATTTCTAGTAATGTTAGGTATTACTTATAACATCAGCAGGGAAACAGTTTTCAGACAAAGATGTGATCTCTATACCAAGGGTGTCTCTCGACTACAAAAATATATTTATTAAATAAACATTAATTATGAGAACTGAAACTCCTCATTTAAATCAATAATTATAACCAGGAGCAAACCAAATCATAGTAGCACATTAACTTTATTTTGCTGTTCAATATGCTATAATTTAAAATAAATTCAAATAGTCATAATCATTCAGCTCCATATGCTGGAAATGGAAAAGTTACCTTAAACCAGCTGCATATTGCAAGAAAAATGAAAGAAGAGGTGTTTTCAAGAAACAGCATATGGGGACCAATCCTCAGCAGATGACTTACACCAACTAAAGCCCTGGCCCATAATTGTAAGTAGCAGGTGTCATGATGAGCTTTTTCATGGAGTTATATGTTGATGCCTTTCATTAAGGCAAAGGTGAATGTAATTTTTTATTTTACTCTTTTTAAGCACTGAAAGGGAAGTAAATTCTTTCAGGAAAAGAAATCTAATGTGAGGATTTTATCTTATTGGAAATTGTGGGCTCTTTGCCTAAATTGTATGGGATTTTTGTTCTGTTTCATTTTGCATTGCCTTATTCAGTAGGCCAAATCCTCCCCTGACTCACAGCTCACTAATTCTGATGTTTGACAAGTCCATTTCACCTGTTCAACCTGTTGGATTTACCACAGCAGGATCTATGGCAGCTTTTTCTTTCTACCCCTTGTCTGAGGTGCATTTTTCTGTTGTTTGGATGCTGTGACACAAAGTCCCACACTGTTAGAAAATTGAGAAAGAATTAAAAGGGTCAACAGCAATGGTCAGCACTAAATGCTACTACTAAGGTATCCCAACGACTCAGCATATATCAAGTCTTACATACAGTAAGAAGGCTTTTTTTTTCACCTCTCCAAAGGTAGAGGTCAGATTGTGTCCAGCCGCTTCATGTTGGCAGAAGAGTTGAGTGGACATTAAGGCCATTTCTAGACATGCTTATCATTTTCTAAACCATATTAACTGATCAACATGTTAACAGTTTGAATCAAATTTCTATTCAAATGAAGGGTTAATAGATGATCATTGACCATCAGCCCCTTAACAGACCCAATTCACAGCCTCTGTGTGTGGGCTTATGTACTTAGCACTTGGGTTAGAAATAATTAGAAAGTGATAATAAGCCTGTTTAAGCACTGCTACATTATTGGAAACCTACTGAAAGTTATCTAAAGTGTTGTTCCAGAAGCCCTAATGTGTGCAATTGACTTGAGTGTTGATGACCATCTCAGCCAATGTGTTGTGGGGAGGGGGCAAAAAGGTTTGCCCCCTTCTTCACAGACCAATGGCCCTTGTGCTTAGGCAGGGCTGGGGGCTTAGTCAGGATATTGATACTTAGTCATGGTAAGGTGTTGTTGGTACGTCTGATTTTGTAAAGGTGTTACTTTGTGCCTGATAGCCTCTGTTGTGTTGCAAAAACCCAGCTGAGTTTCCCCTGTTTGATATTTGCAGTGCCCATCTGCCGAATTCCTAAGGCCTCTTTTTCCTAAAAGCAACACTGTGTATACATGCTAATTAATACAGTTTAAATGGCCTAGTTTGGACTGCCCTAATTTGAATTAATTTTAATCCTCATTCAGTGAGGATTAGTTAATTCAGACTGGAGTCAATTTTAATCAGACTTCAGGTGTCCATGTGTATATAGTGACTGTTGTAGCTCAGATTAAACCTAGAAAAACATGACATCTATAAATGGCCTGAAAACTTTCAGCACTCCTGTTCAGCGGTTGGTAACAACTATGATACTTGCTTTCCCTCACAGCAGGGACTATTCTTTTCTTGTACCCTCATTGCATAAAATTCTGTTTCTTTTGAACGTCTAAATAGCAGTTTTTAGACACATAAATAAGAAAATGCCACTTATGTGCAGAAAGTGATTCTATTTCTCCAGCAGGATGGATGCGTAAGCATGCACACATAGACTGAGCATGTGCAGTAGGCTATAGACTACTGGGCGCATATGCACTATGTACAGAGATGGCCATAGCAAATCAGCTTGTGCGGGGCCTGGACATGGAGGCGGTGGCAGCAGGGAGGGGTGGGTGGCGAGCAGCTGGACACAAGGCCAGCTTGGCTCTGTGGGGCCCCCCAAACTATGGGGCCCGGGGCAGCCGCCCTGATTCACCCCCTTCAGGAATGGCCCTGACTATGTACATCCATTATGTATGTATACTGGTGTTTTAAATCCCCAGAAACTAGGTGGCCAAAAATACACGGCCAGCCAGTGATGGATTCTGAAGGAATAGGAGGGCTATAAGTATGTTTTCTAGCCTACTGGCTCTTCAGGCAAGTTTTGCACTCCTTTCAACAAAAAAGAAACAAACAAAACCCAAGAAAAAATCCCCACTGTTATGTCCCAGACACTGGGAGGGGAACCTCCTTTTGCTCTGGCCCCAGTCTTGGTGTAGCAAGCAGTTCAAATCACAGCCTGCTTCCTTCCCTCTTGCAAACTGCTCCCTCAAACATTGTTCCTTATCTGCTCCTCCCTTTTCAGTTTTAAGCTCCAAGTGGCAGGGGTGATGTGTAGGGGGTGCATGTGGGTGCACATGTACCCCCTGAGCATGGCGGTGCCCCCCCTACAAAAAGGCCCCGCCGACACTGTTGGCAGCACCTGTGGGTGGTCCCTACTCGCCACCCTGCCACAGCCACCGCTGGTGGCATCTGCTGGCGGTCCATGATCCCCACTGGCTGCCACCACCACCCTGCCACCCCAGCTGCCAGGGGTATGCGTCGTTCATGCCAAGTGGGACACTTCTACATTATCCAAATGCTTCACAGCTTGGCTTTCTCAACAGGGCTGACTGTTTCCTCTTAAAGGCTAAGTACAGACAGTCAAAAAGCCTGAGGCTAAATCAATTCAATCTTTGCAGGTTAGTTTAAATTGTGTAGATTGAATTGATAAGCAACACACATTCACCTTTGATTCTGGAAACGCAGACACATGCCTGCAGTGGCCCAGGTCAGGAGCTGGGGGGCACTATAGCATGCCTCTATGCTCAGCTGGAGCAGACAGCTAGCCTGCCCACGGGGTAGGGGCGGCTTGTAATGGAGGTGCAAAGTATCCTGGGATGCTGGAGGACTGTGAGTTAACTTGAATCTGGACGCGATTTGGGCAAAGGCAGAGGGAGAAAACATTATTTAGGCAGGGCTGAGCATGTGCATGTATGAGCATGCATGTACTCCTCCCTTTCAGCAGGTAAGTCTATAGGAGAAGGCATGGGGGAGGTGGAAGGGCCGTGGCACGGCAAATTAAAGCCCCCATGGTGAAGGAGGGAGTGGGGCAGAGGCAGGGACAGGGGCTGGGGTGAATGGGGCCCCAGCCAGGCTGCGTCATGGGACAGTTGGAGCCCATGTGGCTTGTTCAGGTGCAGGCATGGGGTGGGGGGTCCCACCACTATGCGCACCTTGGTGGAGGCCAGAGGGACATATGCCCCTCTGATCTGTGCCCTGGGTGGAGGTGGGCTGCCCGCTACATGCTGGGCTCTGCACTCCGCTGCCACTGCCTCTGGAGCTGCATGATGCCATGTGCGTCCCACTGCTAGGCTGGCAGGGTTTATGGCGCAGCGCAGCACTGGCAGGCACATGGAATTATGCAGCTCTGGAGGCAGCAGCAGCGGGGCACAGAACCCAGTGCTCAGCAGTAGCCCACCTCTGCCCCATGCAGAGATTGGGGGGCATGTGCCCCCTGGGCCTTTGCTGGGGTGCACACAGCAGCAGAAGACCCCCACACCCCTGGATGATCCACCCGGGTTTTGACTGTCCCATGATCCAGCCCAGCCAGGGCCCCAATCACCCCAGCCCCTGCCCCTGCCCCTGCCCCTGTCCCTGCCCCTGCCCCTGCCTTTTCCCCACTCCCTCCTTCACCACAGGGGCCTCAATCTGTCCCCCACCCCTTCCCTGTCACAGAATAGACTTGCCTGCAGTGCTGGGTAGTGATCTACACATCAGGCTGAGATCCTGGCTGCGTCTGCACCCCTCCCCACTCCTGCTGCAGCTGCCCATAGCCTGAGGCTGGTTTGCTCTGATGCCCTACCCACTGCCCTGTGTATGCCGGGGAAAGGAGGGTCTGACCCGATTAGCCCCAGCCTTCTGCTGCCTATGGATCTGGGACAGAGATTCAATAAACCAATTTAATCTAAATCAGTTAAGTCTGATTGTACATCCATCCAGGTTTATCTTAAATTATTTTTTGGTAATTTTGAAAGTGGCTTATGTGCATTGAACTTCTGTTGTGTTACAGATCTGAACTGGTTTCCTATCACTCATACCAGTTTATGTGTTATTTTCATCCTTAGTCAAAGGGACAGACCACCCTGTTACAGGTGCCCTCCCATGTTTTAGGCCACTTACCCAGGAAGCTGAAGACCTGGGTGACAGGCCTCCCTCACCCAGAGGGAATTTCAATATGTGTCTCTACAACCTTGTAGCACAGTGCTCTAAACACCAAACTATAGGTCAGGTATTATCCAGTCCAGAGTCTGGCATGCCTTTGGAAGCTGGTCCCCTGAACAGACAGGAGAAGGAGGAGAACAATTCAGGGTGTGTGGGGTCTGGTGAAATGGATATTGACCCAGATGGAAACAGGTCCTGCATTCTACCTTCAACCTTTGCTCCCGGTAGGGTAGGAACCTCTCAATTGATTTATCCAATAGCTATTAAATACAAAGTACAGGAGCTCAGCTTCAAATGGAGCACCACAGGAAAGCCCCTCTAAAATTCTTAATCAGTGGCACAGCGCTTAAAGTACTATGCAGTATAGTCAGAAAGATGTAGGTTCAAATCCTACTTGGGGGAGGTGGCTTAGGACCCCAGTCTCATTTCCTGGAAAAGTGTCCTAACCACTCAGCTATTGAGACAGGAAATATGGGAGGGCTTCTCTCACTTTCTGCCATCTTCTCCAGAGCTTGTGCATGTAGCCTATGCACATGGGCTTACACATTCTGAGTGTAAAAGAAGGGCCTAAAAGTGGCCATACAGATGGCTAGAAAACTGATAGACATGTAAAGGGGAAATAAACTTCAACATGGAAGAGGAAAAGAGTAGGTCTGTATTTCCCATCTGTATGCATATGGCATGTCTTTAAGACCTATAGCAAAACATGGTCCCCTTGTACACTGGTGAACCTAACAAGGCACTTCTGCTCCTTGAGCCTCCTGTACTCTTACTAACAAAATGAGAGGCTGAGCTTACCAGGCCTAGTACTGCTCTCATAACAAGTCAACACTGTGGGCACTGACTAAATATTCCTGAGTTAGTTTTAAACCTTGTCGTTTGAGAACTGGTAGCAATCTGGGTGGAGCAGAATGAAGCTTTGTGTCGGGTGATTACTTAAATATTTACTCATCTTCTCACAGAGGCAGCCCACATTGAGTTATTTGCCAGTATGATACCAATATCCAATGTTGCTTAAGATTGCATTGGAGACCTACCATCATACTGCCTGAGAATGCCCACTCACAAAGAGGGTTGACTCAAGTTTGTGAAGGAACAACCTTAACTGGGGTTGTCCCTGACTTTCCAGTGCTTAACTCTGTGACTTTATTATTCTAACAGTTTTGAACTGTGCTGCTGTACTCCCTCATCTGAATAAAGAGGAACCAGGATTTTGCCTTGGTAGGTCACATTGTTCCTCAATGCAATGTGGGTATGATTTAATTCTGGATGAAGCTCAAACGAGGCTTGGTCAGGATATATGCCCATATGTTTGGAACCTCACTGCTTTTGCTGGAGAAAAAATAGGCTATAAACCTTATGAGAATAGCCTTCCACACAAGATGTTTAGCATTTCCTGCTTCCATTTGGGCCAGAAATATTGCAAAGCCAACCTCTTTTGGCCTAGCTTCTCCCATTCTTTGTTTTGATTGAAATTTAGAAATACAGAGGGTCAGAAAAAGAAAAATAGCAGGGGACTGAAGGGAAGTTAATTTTTTTCCAAATTTAGTAAAGGTTAGATTAGGATTTAGTTTAAGCTTTGGCTGAAACTTTGGTGGGGAGGGGAGGGAAAGGATGTGTTTATTTTAACTGAATTAGTTCATCTATCTTTAACATGATTATATTTAAGTGTGTATCCGTTTTTATGACACGGTATAAAAGAGTCTGTGCTTCTTTTTTAAGATCTGTGCCTTCTGGGAAAATTAGGGCTGAGTATAAAAGCCCGACTGTAATGCACTGAAGACAGTTCTGGCGTACAAGAAGATAGAGAGAAAGAGGTTCTTCCAAAGGCATGTGGTGAGTCCTGCTTTTTCTTGGAGTCAAAAGCAGGTGCCTCTTACTCAGGTATTTTTCCATTTGTTGTTTAAAACAATCAAGTATTAAAATGCAAATATTGAGTCGCACAGAATTTTATGCAATATCTATCTTTCTGTCTCATGATGGGTCCTTCTTTTCTAGAAGTCCTTATTCAGATCAGTGTATTTCTAAGTGATACCATACTCAGTGAATGATATCTATTGTTCAGCCAATTATAAAAGTTAGTTAAATACATGATCAAGAGAGAAAGACTGCATTTATTGAATTTATTGAATACTAAATTATTGGTGATATAGGAATCTGGCTTAAAAATTCCTGCCTAAGCTTGGGGGATAGGAGATACAAATTGGATAAATGGGGAGAAATTTTCCACCCAGGTCAGTGATGTTCCCACCTCATTCCATGACTTTATATTAGTGTGATGTCTTGCATTACCTGTAGAGGGGGCTCTCATTGAATCCCATTCAATGGTAGTTCTGTTGGTTCTGGAACCTCTTCCCAGACTGTCCATGTGTTGTCCTCTCCTGCTCACTCTAGGATGATGTACAGATATGTTCTCTCTGTGTAGCTTCCATACATGCAGTTTATCTTGAACAGCAGAAGAGCTGCCTGGAGGCTCTGGGCAGTGGTAGAGAAGGGGATTGGATTTACTCATTAATACACTAAGCCAGGGGCATGAAATTATTTCAGGTGGAGTGCTGCTTACTGAGTTTTGGCAAGCTGTCAAGGGCCACATGGGTAGTCTTATTTTTGTATATTTGGGGAGTAAGGGGGTAGGGGGCATGGGGGTGGGTGTAGGTTGGGGGGGCTGTGGTGGGGGAGGGTGGCTGCAGTGTGTGAGGGGGGGTGGGGGTGGGGTCTGCATGTATGGCAGTGCGAGGGGGGTGTGGGTGCATGTGTATGATAGGGTATGCATGTGGGAGTCATCCTATGAACACACACACTGTACATCACTCACCATACACACACACACACACACCCACTCCTGCTCCTGGCCCTGGGGTACTGGTGTGGCCCCATGCTCCTGCAGTTCAGTGATGCAGCCGGGAACCGCTTTACAGGCAACCAGGAGCAGATAAATATTAATTTTCTAAACTTTTTAGGTGCCCTGTGGGCTGGATAGAATGGCTTGGTGGGCTGGATCTGGCTCATAGGCTATATTTTACCCACCCCTGCACTAAACTCAGTCATGAATTACACCCCTATGATGCCGCATTGAAATCATGGGGATAGCATGAAATAAATATCAGCACAGAATTAGCTCTAAAATATGAGCCACATGTGCACACACAAAGGTTTCTGCCCAAAAGTTATTATGTAAAAACTGACCTTTCTTAAGTTAGCTATGAAAAAACAGATGGACTGGGTTTAGGGAAGTGTGCAAACTACAAAGTTGGCCATTGACTAGTGTGTGTTCTCCTAAGTGCATGTGGTCAGATAGGCTAGAGGCCCTGTACCCCTGACACTGTCTTGATAAGGCTTCAGTAAAACCTTGGCTCAATAAGATCTCAGCCCTGAGCAGGCCTTTCTTTTCTTCCAGCCCCACGCCCCACTTTTCCTTAGTTTAATAAGGTCTTAGCTTCTAAACAAGTTCCCCACTTCCTTCTTCCTTCTAAAAGATAGTACCATGCTTTGTTAGGTGCCAGCTGTATAAGGAGGAAGGATTTCAAAGGCTCTTGTAGCTCACACCTGGAACATGATAAGTCAAGTGACCCAGAAGCATAGGGAGCCTTTAATGGAGGTTCAATAATAAACAGTCAACTAATCGGTACACATGCCAAAGCAGTGAAATAGGGTACATCTGCGTGCACATCTGTGTGGTCACTGGTGATTGGTTTTCTTATAAAATCATTAGAATTGAATTGTATTCAATGTATAACAAAGGTATGAAAGACATAACTGTCCTATTACACATTGAACATGTAAACTGTGTAAATTCCTGTGTACTTCCCAGCCAGTTTCAACAGCCAGCTGACAGGGATTAAAGGCTCTCTAGCTATATTAATTGGGGTTGTCTACATGTGCATTAATATGCTGTAATTACTGTGCATTAAGTTTAGTACTTGTAATAACAGGTACTAACTTAATGTGTGGTAACTGATGCTACTGCGCAGTAGCACTGGCGCGTGTCTTTTAAGTGACATTAATGTACAGTAGACTAATTCTACTGCACAATAGTGCATTAGCACAGCTTTTGCTGTGATGTGCTAATGCACAGTAAATTAGTCTACTGAGCTTTTAGCATCTCATGTAAATGTGCCCACTGTGTCATTTCCTTAAGCTAAGTGCAGTAAACTAGGAAGAAGACTGAACTATGCAGGACAGGGGCCCAGCCAGTCTAGCTACTTACAACCCATATTCATTCATAGGATTTTATGCTGTGTTGTAACTAGAAGATGTAGACACTGTCATAGGGTTTGGTAAACAGTACCTGTTCAGCTGCATCCTGACACATTATGGTGTATGGCCAGTGATTTTTGCACTAACTCCCAATCATTATTTCCATTGTATGTAGAGACCTTTATGTAGCTGGTAAAGCAATAACACAGAGAGAATCATGTTGTGACTCCTTTACAATGGTGTAAAATGGGTATAAAGCAGGTGCTTAACTCACCCACCCTTAGGAGATCCCATGGCATCAGGGGTCTCCCAGCCATGCACAGAAATGGCATACCAACTGCTATGACCCCATGGAAGACAGTGGTCCACAGCAGCCTGAGGACAGGAGACATGCAATCTGCCACTCCCTCCCACCAAAATACTTGATTATAATTTTTTTAAGGCTGGGTTGATATCAGGGAGCATACAACCAATTGATACTTACTGACTTATGTTGTGGTGGTAGTGGAAAACTTGGATGCCCTTGATACTTACATAGTTTTGTTCATTTTGAGTCCCAATTCCATTATCCTTATAAGTACCTTACCACTCTGAGAGTCCTAGTGATTCCAGTGGGTTGTTTGGTACTGCAAAAGTTGGCATGCCTTCTCAACTTTAATACCATATGATGCTGGAAATATTTAAAACCTTCAGTGTTTTGCAGGCTTGAAGCTTTAGATCTTACTCAAATCTTAGGATAACTTTGAGGTTGGCAGAACGTGCTGGAGTGAGAGATTTGGAATGAGAAAATTAGTGAATACAAATGTCATGATATTTACTCAGATTATGTATTTTCTACATTTTCCTCTCATAAAAACCTGCATAACTGGTGCATAATTGTTTTGCTATGTAAGCCTTGAAAGTGAGAGTCTAGATAGCTGTCAGGTATCTTCTTTGTAGTACAGTATGTTGTCCTTAGAAGCTAATCAGTAGAACTTCCTCAGTAGAACTTAATCAGCAGAACTAAGCACATTGTCAATGCTTAACAAATAATAATATCAACAGGAGATCCTTTTGACACAACCTATCAGACTTTTGTTTATTTCTGGGGTGCATTACCTGTCTCTAGTTAACTTAAGAATTAATATTTACTACACCTCCATTTACTGTGGGTGATAATGATAGAATTTGAGGAGGATGGAAAATTTCAATGAAAATGAAATGTTAACAAGCATTAGAAATGGAATACTAAGAAAATACATGTTTCCTTCCATATGTCAGATCTGTGTATAAAGTTACCATAGCACAATACTTTTCATAGGTGTTAAGTGTCAAAGTTACTGGAAATAAAAATGGATCTGGACAATTGTTTGAAGTGTAAGAAACTGTATTTATGTTATCAGCATTGATTTTGATCTCCTGATAATCTATTCTTTTAAAAATAGGCTCATTAAATGTTCCTTAGAAAAAAAAATGTGAATGTACATAGGATTATATATATTAGTACAGGAAGGTTGGATGCATCAAAGGATTTGTAAACCAAGGGTTTTCAGTTCTGTTACACCACTCTAATTTGGCACAGTCTGGCACTAGCTGAAATTCACTTCATTTGATGGTTGTATTCACCTGAAATTAGTTGGCAGTTTTCATTCTGCTCCAAAAGGAAACACATATGCATTGTAAATAAAAAATAGATCTGAAGTTGATTCTAATCAGATTATCATAGCTTTAGTGGTTTTAATAGAACAAAGTCAACTTATACTGGTTGGGGATCTGGCTGACTATCACACGAGGCTTTAACTGACAAATGTGTTGGGATGCTCCGTAAAGGTGCCAGTGATGCAGTAAGGACGGAGATTGTGGGCAGATCCCCAGTTGTTGTAAATCATTGTTGTACCACAGACATCAGTGGAGCCGTGCTAGTCCCTTAGCTGACAACTTAGCTCTGAATGCTGGCAAGGGAAATCCCAGGTCTAGTCTGAGCCACAATTATGGATATGCTTGTGTTATGGATGCCTATGTTATACCTAATGTTTCAATATATAGAAAACCTCAATATCCCAGGGTGTCAACATCTGTTAAATCATGAACAATAAAACCTGTCTCTTTCAAATCTTGAGGGGAAAAATGGGTCTGAAGCTGAAGTCTGACATGTCTGAGCTATTGTGATGCACTTCGTAAAATATAAGTGAAAGCTGTTAGTAAGTGTTATGGGATTTGGTTTTCTCTTGATATATTGGCATTTGCCAAGCTAATGGGTGGTAAGAAGAGGAGGTGTCCCTATGAACACAAGTAAACAGGTCTCATAAGAAGCAGTTAGGATTTTGTAGTAGTAGCCACAAACCTGCAGTGCCACTAATGCTGGGTCATTACTGCAAAGCCTCTTGCAACAGAACATGCAGATGAATGAACACCACACATGCAGAAAAGACTTAAGTGGCAGCCTGCAGTTTAGTCTGACTTTGGTGAGTGGCACTATATTCCACACCCTTATCCCCTCCCCACTTCAGCCTTTCCTGTAGGCTAGTTTATGTGACTGTGGCAAATCTCATTCTGAGCCCCCGACTCTCCCAAAGGATTGTGTAAGGAACACAGGCCCCTCACTTAGAGCTGCTGATTCCACTTTGGGGCCAGACCTCTCTTTGCAGATCTAGCTGATCACATGTAGGAGGAAGGTGATCAAATACAATGGCTTCTTTCCTCTTTGT